AACCTTAAACATTCATACAAAGAACTGGATGCCAACAGAGAGTACTAATCTAGTAACTTCACTTTAATGAAAAAATTACAGTATTTAATGCAGTGCTACCAGTAAAGATGGGCAGAATCTTATTAGGTGTAATGATAAAACATTCAATGATCATTATCTTGCTGAAAACTTCCTTTGAGTGAGGCACTGCCTAATAGTAATTTTTCACTCTCAAACTATTCACACAGTGACACTTTAATGAAAAAAGGGATACCACCTGGAGTATTTATTAGTTTAACAAGCACTTGACTGGGAGCCTAAGAAGATTCAGTGTTTCTCAGTCCTTCCAAGTGGTTGAACTCCAGAGCCTAATGTTCTTCTTTTACTCGAGGGACTGGAACACGCCTGCCACTAGGGGGTGCTGTTGCCTCTTTGCTCCAACCTCTGGCGGTTTCAATTCTGTCTGACCTTACCAGTCGCAACAGAACAGAGGAAAAAGTGGCTTCATCCTTCCCCAGTGAGTTCGTTCCTTCAACGCCCCCAGAGTCAGAGAAATCAGTTGGAACCATTCAGAACAAAACGAAATGGCTAGTAAATGAAATAGGCTTGTTAAAGTGTTTTCAAATATCTCCCCTTGGTGGACCAGAACAGCTTCTTGCTATCATCAGTGAATAGTTTCATTAGGGCCTGGGGATGTTAACAGTTTTTGAGGTGCTGCCAAGGGAAGTGAGGACTAATGGGGAAAACGGGCTGTGTGGCAGCAGGAGATGACGAGAGGGCTGGGCCCTCGTGGATCCTTTCCCAGTCTGGCAGAAATCTGCTTTTCACCTCTATTGACTCAGTATTGGGTCAGACGCCATTTGCCAAAGCATGCCACATATACCAGTTTTGGGGGTTGTAAGAAATACATGTTCTGGGGTCATATGAATTTAGGAAACTCTGGTTTGAAGAAAGTTAATAAGAAGTTTTACTTGGTGTAGAACTTGCAGAATATTTAATTTACAATGTACTGTGCACTGTGCTTTGTGAATCTAAGGCTGGGCATTAGGTAGGGGTAGACATACCAGTGCTTCTCAGTGAAGGGGTGTGTGTGTGAGTGTGTGTGTGTGTGTGTGTGTGTGTGTGTGTGTGTGTGTGTGATTTTGCCCCCAGGGGACATCTGGCCCTGTCTGGGCACATTTTTGATGATCATGGCTGGGGAGGGTGTTACTGTCATCTAGTGGGTAGAGACCAGGGATGTTGCTGAATGTTCTCAGATGCACAGGACAGATCCCTCCCTGCCCCCTCCACCAACAGAGAATGATCAAGCCGAAAAGGTCAGTAATTCAGTGGCTGAGAAGCTCTGCTCTATAACATATATAGCTTCTTCCGCTTATTTAACCCCAAAATTAATTGTTTTGAAGTATCTTGCAGCACCAGAGTGGGAAATACGTTGGGAAACTCTGCCTTCAGTTTATCCACAATGTTTTAATTGTTGGGTGGTGTGGTCTTCCGTCAATACTCCTCTTTGACCTCCATATGGTACTTGTCATTGTTGGCCGACCTCTCCTTGAAATTCTCCTGAAATGGCTGGACACTGCATTGTTTCCGTTTCCCTTCTCCTTCCGTAACCCCCGCCCTCTCCTCTCCGGCTTTTCTTCTTCCTACTCGCAGAATAGGGGCATTTCTTGTGGTTTTAGACTTCATTGTGATCAGTCTCCCATGACTTCACTGATGTCTACTCATGCCTGTGGCTCTACCTACAACCCTTTGAAAGATATTTCTTCCAGAAGAAGTCTATGTTTCCAGTTATATGTTGTAGGTTTTTCCAAAATAAAGATGTCCCCTCTCCAAAACCACCTCCTCCTCTTCAACTTGTTTCTCTCTTTCATGAATTTGTTCTTAAATTCTTCCAGTTTTCTCTGTCACTCCGACATGAAACTAGGTTCAGTCACGAAGCCTCGTGAATTCTCTGGCCCCTTGTCTATCCCTTCTTAAATGAGGCCTTGGTTCCCCTTTGTCTGAATACTGAAATGAATTCCAAATCATACTCCCTGCTTCTCCTCCTTACCCCTTCCATGGAGTCTGCACACTACCACCGTTTCAATCATCCTCAAGTATCGCTTTGATTGGTTAAAACTTCCAGTGAGTGAGTTCCCATTGTCCTTTGAATAAAGTCCAAACAACTTTTAGTGGCAGTCAAATTTTCTTCACTGTAGCTCTCACCTGTTTAAAGCTTTTGTTCCAGTGTCTCCCCCACTGAAATTCCAGACAGAAGAAACACTGTTCATGTGAGAGCAAAGACATGGAGACGTGAAAGTGTGAAGCACTTGGGGAAAGGAAGTTTTTGTAAATTTTTTAGAGTTAAGTAATCTCTGGGATACAGTCATTGGGAACTGAACAATTCAAGTTCTAAATTTATCGTAGGTGCATCTGTATGCAACGTGACTCATCCTCTAGACCAGCAGTTCTCAACCTTTCACAGGGGTCACCTAAGACCACGGAAAACACATATTTTTGATGGTCTTAGGAACCGAGACACCGCTCCTCTATCTGTCTCCAGGCCCACATGCAGATACGCCCACATATGAGTACCCGGCGACCCCTGTGAAAGGGTGTTCGACCCCAAAGGGGTCACGACCCACAGGTTGAGGACCGCTGCTCTAGACTAAAGATATTCTATAAATGGGCTTATATATATGATCCTCATAGTATGTAAAGAATGAAAATAAAGAAGGCTATTCCTCAAGGTTTCTATTTGTCAAAGCCCATAGCCTATCGTATTATACAGCCTAAATAAATATGTGCTAAATTTAGAATGAACAAATTAATGAATGCATTCATGAGTGAATGAAAATCTGTTGTAGCAGGAACCGTTGGTGTCCTGCTCATGTTCCTCAGCACTTACCTCTACATGACAAAGGCAAATACCTGCAAATACTGCAAATACCTGCACTTGTCTACTTGAAGGTCTTTAGTTTTTATGGCCATAGGTGTGTGCTCAGCCTACTCCCAGGGCACTGGAAGTGTCAGAAAGTTTCTGAGTCAACCTTCAACCAGTGATAGACAGGGTGTTGGTAGCTATATCCCCCAGCTTCCTTACGCCTTAGAGTAGCTCTGAGACATGCTCTGCTATGTCTTCCAGGTTTCCTCATCGGGCCTGAGTTCTAATTGCCACAGTAGTATCTTGCATGAGTTAAGTACCTTTTACTGACTTCCTTTCCTTCCCAGTCTTACTTTCCCACCCCTCAGCAGTGCTTTCTAGGATCACTTCTCAAAAAGCAACAACAAAAACCACAAAGCAAATACTACAACCCTAACAAGACCCCAAAATCACACCCCCCAAAAAAACAAACCCTATTCACAATTGATTTTTTTTTAAGATTTTTTTTATTGGGGAATTGGGGGAGAAGAACAGCATTGGGGAATTGGGGAAGGGGAACAGACAAGTTGCTCTCCTTTTGTTCTTCAGCCTGGTTGTGGAGGATGTCACTTCACTGGCCCAAGTTGGCACCATCATTGCGCTCTTCCTGGCTGAGGCAGTCGCTCACCGGCCATTGGATGGCCTCTCACGGCAGCTCATGGTGGCTCACAGCAGCTCACGAAAGCTCATGCCGGCTGCCGGCCAGCCCCACTGCAGCCTATGCTGTCACAAGGTCTCACGGCAGCCCAGCTCTAGGTCAAGCTGTTGTTCATTATCTTAGCTGTAGAGGGTGCAGTGTCACTGGCCCGCATGTGGGATCTGAACTGGGGCCCTGCTGCTCAGAGCTGGGGTGCCAAGCCAACTCTTAACCAATGCACCACTTGGCTGGCCCTCACAATTGATTCTTAACTCAGAATCTGCTTCTGAGAGAACCCAAACCAAGACAGCCACTGAACGTGGAATTGCACATTGAGTACTTAAGAAGAGCCCATGACATCTGGAATTCATGCAATTACTGTAGAATAAAAAACACATATCTTTCAGAAACCAGAAGTCATCTTGTTTGTGGCAAAATTTCTTCCACGCAAATCACTAATAGTTTGAATAAAAGATGTGGAGGGTAAGGGGTGGGTCTTTATTATTCAAGTCCTTTGAATATAGAAAAAATCATTAAAACTGGATAATATTCACTAATGAAATGTTTAGTTATAAAATTACTCTCAATTCAAATTTCCTTTTTCACATAACACTTATGTCTCTCCTACCCTTAATGCCCTAGCAGTAAATATCAGAATATTTGGCCAAACCATGCGAATAAAACTGTAGCTCAACTTCAATAGAAAATCTGAAAATCTTACTAAAAACACACTATTTCATGAAATCTATGAATGTGAAGTTGGAGAACTGCTGGAATCAATGCAAAGCTGTGGAAAATGAGGATCTGGCAGAATAAGACAAGGCAACAGTTGAAGAAGAGAAAACGGACATGCATGATGACCATGATAGGAACTTCCCAACAGTGTGATCTGGATATCAAAGGTCTAAGGGAAATTCTTGGGGAAAATAGTGATGCCTTTAATTATGTTTGCAAATAATGGTGCTTTTTTTGGATGATTCTATGATAATGAAGCATGAAGGATAGATATTATATTGTATTAGGCTGTACATTTTTTTTTTCGGGATGGGTGGGGAATTTCACCCCACAATATTCCATTTACATTTTGAGTGGCAGACCTGCATATAGATTTTTGGTCCCACAAAGTGTTTAATCTCAAAGCCTGGTATATAATATCCTTTAAGAGAATCATGAAAACATCCACTTAGTTTAGTAGATGGAAACAGGAAGAAGGCTGATTCCTTGCTTTACACAGTGATTTTGATTGAAAATCACTTAAACGTTGAACTGAGAACATTTGCTGCCTTCCTTGATTTACAGATGTTTTCTCAGAATTTCCAAATAGTCCCAGCTGGCTGGAGCTAAGGCCTGTATAGTTTGATAAGATGCATCTGGCTTCAAGACACAGACTAAGTATGGGGGCAGGCTCTTTTGTCCCGGAGAATCTGATTGGGCTACGAGCTAAGTCTCAGGAGTCCTTGCTCTTTATAAGAGTGCCAAGTGACTCCCCAGCCGGGTGACACAGGGAGGGCGCAGACTGCTGGGTTCTTCCTGCTGTTGAAAGTTCACTGGGTACTCACAGTAGAAATTTTCTTCCTCTCTTCTTCCTCGACTGTTGTCCCCAACATGAAGGTAAGATTATTTTATTATTTTTGCAAACAAAGCTATCTCAAAAGGGAGTAAGGCTTAAATAAAAGAACTCAAATAAGGAGAATACACGGGCACATTAGGGAAGAGAAAGATCTGAGGGTGACATTTAAAAAATCCTTGCTTCAATATATTCAGTAGTTCAGCCAAAGTGAATTCCTTTTCCTTGTTTTGCAGTTAAATTATGGGTTCAGAGGTCTGGGAATCAGAAACTGGAGACAATGTTTATGAAAGTCCAGAGAAAGCTGTTGGGAAATACAAAAGTACTGTTGTTCCTTCTTAGGGAAAAATTACCTCCAGTGTATTTTTGTGCGTGTTTGATTTGGAGCGGTGCTATTAGCACCCATGGTTTGACTTATCTAAAAGCGTTAAGGAAAAGAGAAATTAGAGACTATGGAACTTTAGAATTTGGAATTCTGGATGAAAGGGTCAGGATTGTGAGAATAGAAGCTACAGATAGATGGAATGAAATGAAAGCTTTAGCAAGTATACATGTTGGCCCAATGTAAAATGACCAAGTGTTAAAAAAATAAAAAAAGAGAAAAATTACTATTTAACCAAAGATAGGACCAAAGATGAAATTAATATCATAAACTATATTTCTGGGATGCAAAAATAAGTTGAAATTGCTATTACAATTTTATTATTGCAAATTAAATTTGGTATATAAACTACAACTTTTTCATTATAATGCTGGAACAGTGATTTCAATTACTTTTGTTGTCTCTACGCTGTCCATTTGCAATACTGAATCTATGCTCACTTTCCAATGGGGTAGGAGGAGTGAGATTGGGCCTTGAATAACTCATGCATGAAATTACATGGAATTAAATGATTAAAGTTAAATAGAAATCACAAAGTTATTTTGTTTAATGTTATTATGCTAGAACATTAAGTAACCCTACACAATTAGAATTAAGATGTAATCTAATCTCTATTACTCTGTCTTGTATTTTCATTTAAAATTTTAGAATATTTGTTAGCTCCAAAAGAATATGAAGCTTTTCCTACAGTCATCTAACTAATATACTTTTGCCTAATATTTGTGTTAACCATCAACCAATTTCCTTATTTATTTTATAATGAGACACCTTAACAATTGTTTTGTGCTTAAAAAATTTGTTCACAATCATTGATTATTATGGTATTCTGCCATGATAGTAAATATACTTTTATCCTTCAGTTGGCTGACAGAATACCAAAAAGTAAATTATTTCCCTGCATGTTGCATGCAGACTTTTCATCTATATTTGAAAGTAGATATTCATTTTTTTTTAAAGATTTTTTTTTAATTGGGGGAATTGGGGGATGGGAACAGCACTGGGGAATTAGGGGAAGGGGAGCAGACAAGTTGCTGTCCTTTTGTTCTTCAGTCTAGTTGTGGAGGACATTGCTTCACTGGCCCAAGTTGGTACCATCATTGCGCTCTTCCCGGGTGAGGCAGATCAGTTGCCGGCTTCTGGACAGCCGCTCACAGAGGCTGTTGGCCGCTCCCGCTGGCTGCTGGCTACACACGGTAGCCCATGGCAACCCACTGCAGCAGGGGCTGCAGCCTCTGACGTCGTCGCCCGAGACTCATAGCAGCCCAGCTCCAGGTTGAGCTGTTGTTCAGCATCTTAGCTGTAGAGGGCAGTGTCACTGGCCCTCATATGTGGGATCTGAACCGGGGCCCTATGGCGTCCCAAGGCAGCTCTTAACCACCGCGCCACTCAGCCGGCCCTAGATATTCATATTTTTACACTAAACATGAAAGGCATGCTTTTGTGATACATTTCAGAGAAGGGAAACTTGGGCTATGAAAACACCATCGGAAATGATTTCCAGGTCTGGCCTTTTAAGGGGGAGTATTCTTTTGTCTCCTACCCCCACTCATGTGAACTAAATTCAGAGAGATGGTCCTACAATCCCCTTGGTTCTCTCTGTGTCCTGTGGATAGGAGATAACTTGGGCCTGAAGTGTTTCAGAAGGACTTCAGAGCAAAAAGGGCTTCCCTTTGATCTGGCTGTGGTTCAGCCTTTTACTCTCTCCTCCCTGGACTGAGATGACTCTGGGGTTTGTGGACCTAAGGCAGGATTTTCATGGGACTGGGATGTGGTCAGACACAGTGATGTCTCAAGTCAGGGCCTCTGCTTTCTCTCCATACCCAGAGCTGATCTCATGTTATCAGCTGCCTTCTGCCAGTTATACTGTGTTGGTATTTGTGCCTTTAAAACACATGTCCTTTTTCAGATTACAATACTACCTTATTGGCAAAAATAAGTTCAAAAAGAAGATCATATTTATTATTTCTCCACCGAGAGGTACCACTGTTACCGTTTCAGTCCATTTCTTTTCATGCTTTTTATGTAATCACATTTTACATGCAATTTTGTAACCTGTCAGATGTCCAATATTTAGGCTGGTGCTATCATGTAAAGATGATTATGAAAGCCCTCTGAGGTGTTTCAGAGACTGAAGGAGCCACCCACAGAACTAAGAAGTGTGATGAACATCACTGCCCCTCTGGCTGGGGATGTGTCTCGATTTGATTCTTCATTTATGAAGTTCATTTCCTTTTTAATTCCTCAGCCCTTGGCACTGCTCTTTCTCCTTGGCTTTCTCCTCTCTGAGTGTCCTCATGAGCACTGGAGTTAGGAGAGAAGGAGAGTGGGGAAAGGAATTATTAGATGATGGGACCCGAAATAAATATTTGTGATCATTTAACTCAGGAGCATTTTCAATTGGATTGTCCACAGAAATGAATATAGTAGGAGGTGCATGCAATAGAATTACATTAAACTTTTATTTAAAATGGAAACTTAAAAGACAAGCAGAGGCATTGAGACTTCTTCATAGTTCTTTCACTCTTTATATTCCTAAATCACAAATCTTGACTCGTATAAATGTATTCACTTTCAACTCATTAAAAACTGCAAATGAAATTAATGCTTTTATTTCTCTCTAGGCAACAAGTTTATTCATCTTTGTGGGATTTATAGGAGAGTTCCCAGGTTTTTCAAGGTGAGAATTTTTTGGATTTTGTGTGGAAATCATTCAAAGTTAAATTTATTTATTTATTTATTTATTTTAAAAAGATTTTATTGGGGAATTGGGGGAGGGGAACAGACAAGTTGCTGTTCTTTTTGTTCTTCAGTCTAGTTGTGGAGGATGTTGCTTCACTGGCCCAAGTTGGCACCATCATTGCGCTCTTCCCGGGTGAGGCAGATCAGTCACCGGCTTCTGGACGGCCGCTCACTGCGGCTGCTGGCTGCTCACGTTGGCTGCTGGCTACACACGATAGCCCATGGCAGCCCACTGCAGCAGGGGGTGCAGCCTACGCTGTTGCTGGTGACTCATGGCAGCCCAGCTCCAGGTTGAGCTGTTTGTTGTTCAGCATCTTAGCTGTAGAGGGCAGTGTCACTGGCACTCATATGTGGGATCCGAACCAGGACCCTTTGGCATCCCAAGCCAGCTCTTATCCATCGCGCCACTTGGCCGGCCCAATTTTTTTTATTTTTAAGAAATTTTTTAGTACAGCCAGATTTCTACATTGCAGTCTGAGCATGTTTATCCATCCCTTCAACATTTCGACTTTCCGCATTTTGAGAAAAGGCAATGATAGCAAAAGCTTGTGTTATTATTATTCTTATTTTACTTTATTTTTTCGCTGTAAGGAAGAAACCTGAAGATTAAAAACACCTCAAGGAGTTTTGCTTATCCCAGTTCCATGATTTTACCTGCATTTCGGAGATTTGCAGCCACTTTATACAGCTTAGGGCAGAATTTGATCTTTAAATGTAGTCATTACAAAACATTCTTTGGATTTTAAAGGTTGAGAGATTTTTAGGAAAATAGTTTTATTGGCACTTGAGAATTGAAAAAAAAAAAAGCCCAAATCATTCACCCGTTGCCTTGTTCTGCTTTCCCTGTCAGTTGATGGGACAGGACCAGGTCAGTTCACTTGATGGAACCATCAGAATATGTGTCAGGCGCTGTGCTAGTGACTGGGTACCAAGAGAGCAGTGAGTCCATTGGATGACTCAGATCTTGAAACAGTTGATTTCGATACAGATTTTCTAAGGGCTCTGCCAGAGGCCTGAACTGTGCTGTGGGAACACAGAGGTGAGGCCAAGCAAGCCTCCCTTCCTCAGCCTTGGTGTTTGGGGAAGACTGCAGCCTGTCCCTGGGACACAAAATAGAAAAATAGCAAGTTCAGACTGCTTAAGGGTAAAAATTCTGAGGCATTTGGGTCATTGGTGCCACGTAAAGACTCCAGGTTAGCAAGGTTGGCCCCATAAAAGCACCTGAGCACACACTACAGAATGGGATACCTTATTTCCACTGTCACCTGGCAGCCTTCAGACACCACCATGACTTAAGATGTTTGCAAGGCTGGAAACGTGCTCAAAATCCAGAAACCAGGAGTCTTCATTCCTTTACCCTTTGTAAGGGTGCTTTTAGGCCAGGCTTCCTGAATTTCTTAGGTCTAAGCCATGTGCCCTCCTTGACACAGCCGAGTTAAACATTGCATGAGAGTCAACTTGCCATCTGCCACGTGTATTTTATTTGAGTGGAATTGTTTAAGCTCAAATGTCCCCTTTATGGGTGTGTGCTTAAGAAGTGGCTTAAATGAACAGGGGAGCATTTACAAATAAATTCCTGTCCAATTAACCTCTGCCAGCTTTTAGTTTCCCACTTTTCATAGGGTCTTTTTAGAGCTCCTTGTCTCCCAGCTAAGAGTTTCCGTATAACTAACTCTTCCATTCATCTTTCAGAATCCTTTCAAAGGTCCTCCTGTCTCCTGTATCTTCTCGCTTATTCTTTCCAACTCTGAACACTCCTTTATCCATATTTCCACAACATATTATACTGTGCACATTTGCTATGAAATCTTTCAAGCTACATATATTGCATTACAGATTGTGGTTGTATTACTGTATTATTATTTGTCTATGCATCTGTGTCTTTGTCCTCTCCTCTTTCAATGGTCAGTGATCTATCTCTTTTAATATGTCTACAACTCCAGTGTCTAAATAGTGCCTTGTACATTATAGATGTTTAATAAATGTTAATCTCTAAAAAGTGGATTCTTTTTACAAATGTATTTTATGTATTTTTTGATACTTTTGGTGCCTCTGAGAAAAAAAATTGTGAAGCAATTTTTGACTGTTCTTTGTGTCCCCTCTCTCTTATCTTTCTACCTGCCTTGTGATGAACAATTTGACAGTGCCCCCTCTCCAGTCAATTGCCAGTGGGATTCCTATGGCCCTTGGTCAGAATGCAATGGTTGTACAAAGTCTCAGGTAGGACCATGCAAAAACTTTGTATGTATTATTTATATGCAGAAATAACATAGGTATGGACAAAATGGCATTAACTTTTGAATGCTGTGTTTTGTTTCTTAAAAATATAATTAGTAATTTTAAAGAAAAAATATAACTTGTTTAATAATGAACATTGTAGTAATTTCTGCATTCTAATTTTTCTTGTAGGACTTTTCTAAATCTTACATTTGAGATTAGAGATCTACATAGGATAAAAATTAAAAGCAACTCACTAACTCTTGAGCTATTAGAGAGATAAGAATAGCATGAAATAAAGTTAGAGATAATTCAAAATCTGTTTCATATTTACTGGGTTCAACTTTTCTTATTATTTGAAACAAACACTAACAAGTAGCAAAATAATTGCTTTGTTTTACCTGACAAATGGTGAATGACCATGAAAAGTTATTTTGCAATGCTTTGAAGTTCAGTTCTTTTTTAAAAATTATTTATTCTTTTTTTCAGTTACAGTTGACATTCAATATTATTTTATATTAGCTTCAGGTGTATAGCATAGTGGTTAGACATTTATATAATTTATGCAGTGATCCCCCCAATTAGTCTAGGACCAACCTGGCACTATACACAGTTGTTACAACATTATTGGCTATATTCTCTATGCTATACTTTACATTGAAGTTTAATTCTTAAGTAATACAAGTAAAATATCAAAATGTCTTTTTTCCTTGTTATAAATTATTTACTGGAGATAAAACAGAAAAGTATAAAGAAAATACTACTTATAATTTCACTATTTAGTAGAAACCAATATATCAGCGTTTTGGTATTTATTTCTTTCAATTTATTTTCTTTCTGTTTGTTTAGAATTTTTAAAAATAGAATTATTTTATCATAGTTTTCTATTCTAGTATTTTAACCTAGCATTGTACTATCAGCATGAATTTTAACAACTGTATTATGTTTCATTATACGAATATACCAGTCTTACTTATCTACTTTCCTATTGTTTGAGATTTAAGTATTTTCACTTTTGGTTATTATAAATAAAACTTTAATGAACATTTTTATACATAGATCTATGTCCTGTTTTCTGATAATTGTCTTGGGATAAATTCCAAAAATATAATGTTTATTTTAAAGGTTCTGAACCTTTGAGGGGTTATTTTTTATTGAAATATAATTGACATATAACTTATTAGTTTCAGGTGCACAACATGATTTAATATTTGTAAAATATTTTAAAGTTGGTTCAGTTTGGATACAATTGTGTATTTAAAATTTATTTTGTAATTATTGAAACAGCAGAAACATATTGCAGAAGATAATTTTGAAACATCACCATAATTATCATGTTCATCAAGCATTTATTTGGTACCTCCATGAGTGGTATTTACAAAACAAGTTATACAAATGCAGAATTTGGCTTCTGGCAAATACAATAGATGATGACTCTGATTATAGGCAAACAAGTACATCAATAACAAGGCAAACATCAAACTAACACCAATCACAGAAAACATTTTTATAATTTAAAAACAAGTTAAGGAAGAACACTAAATTGAAGTGGATAGAAGGTATTTTTCATATTAGTAATTTTTTTCTTTGAGTGAAGTGTCATCATGGATAGTTACATCCCTAACTCATAAAATTAAAATTTTCATCTGGAAAGAGACAACTGAAAATGAAAAAGGGGTCATAAGACCAGCATTTGACAGGTGAGAATGAGGCTGCTGAGGGTGGGCACGCGTCAAGGTCATCCTGGTATGTGGAGAGGTGAAACATTACACAAACAACACAGTCTGTGCTTTGGAACTTCAGAAAATGACAAATTAATGAGCCATACATGACAGGTGTCTTCATTTAAATACAGAAACTAAAACCTTGTCAAGAAACTTCCCTGAGTTTCATTCCCCACTGACATTCCTCCATCGTGCCTCTGCTTAGATGCAATAAAGGGTGCCAGAGCGAGGCCCAGGCGGATGCAAAACCGCTGAGTTCAAATTCCGTTACTGTGACTCTTTGCCTCAAGGAATCCCCACTTCTAACCCAATGTAAGATGGAGGAATAGATTCAATGTATCTAGTCTGCCCTGTTGGTCTTTGCTCAAGGTCTAAATTCTCTGGAATCTCAGATTTTGTTCCTTTTTATTAATGGGGAAGAGGCTTAAAAGATGCACCTTTGATTGCCTTTGAGGAGGAAAAGGATTTTGTAGATCTTTTTGTTTAAACATTGGATGCACGTCTTCATTCTGACGAAGTGAATTTTAGGATGGTTAATTGTTTCTCATTTGGCTTGATGGTTTCCTCAATTTTTCCTTACTTGCTCCCCTACCCCACCTTTGCCAGATGTTTGCTTTTGACGTATTTCCCATTTCAGAGGTCAATGATTTTGATTGTCTCATAAAATTCCATTGTAGATATAACTTCACCTTTGGACTGCTTAGGCTTCTGTTTTATAAATTTGACTTCCATAATTAACACATGTCTTGTTGGATTGCTTTGCCTTCCCTTGCCATCCTGAAGAAGGCTTAACATTCAGCTCAAATCAATTGCCACCACTTTTTAAAAAGGTTTTCTGAACTCCACCTCCTCTCAGTCCCCTTCCCAGCACTCTTACCCTCCCTCCTGCCAAATTCATTTTCACCTTTCTCACTAGCTCTTGGTACAAAGCTTTGACATATGCATTAATTATTCTATTTTATAGTCTATTTGCTTATATGTCTACTCCGCTCCTTCAGGTTACTTTCTTAAAGATTCACTAATTTTATTTTTATTTCTTTAGCACTATACCCTGAGAGTGAATACATAGCTGGGAGCACTCTATAAATAATAACTCATGTGTCAGCGCACTCAAGGATGAGTGGGTCTGTGGGTTTGTTGATTTTGGAGGTTTTACTTCTCTAGGACACCAGAACCATTTCTCAAACATTGCTTCTCCAGTTGTATTAATTTCTCTCAAATTTTATTTCTTAGATAAAGGAATCTGGAGATATCGAAAAGCACTACCTGTTTTTTGTTTAGACTCGCAGGCGGTCAATTGCTGTTTATGGGCAGTATGATGGCCAACCTTGCGACGGCAGTGCTTTTCAAACACAATCGTGTGACCCTACACGAGGATGTCCAACAGAAGATGGATGTGGAGAGCGTTTCCGGTGTTTTTCAGGTATTTGTTTTCAGTAGCCTTAGCATACAGAGTGTAAATTCAAATGTTATATGTTTAACCTGCTCAGTATATATTTGTTGAATTTTACTGAATTTATGTTGACTTATAAGTTAATTTTCCCCAAATATCCATATGTTTGTTTGTTTTTTCTGCATAATAGTCACATACTCAACTATCATTCTTTCAAATGCACGGGAAGGCATCTGGTAATAAAGGCAGGGATATGCTTTGCTTTTTTGAAAAGAAATATGGCTATTGACAGACCCAAATAGTACTTGACATTGCATTTTTGGTGAAGATGTAGAGTTAGTCTGGTATGTGTACTGAGATTGGGCAGAAACAATGTTACCAAAATTATTATTATGTTTATAAGAACAGCAACTCTAATAGCTAATAATGGAGCAGTACAGGTCACCCCAATGCACGGGGTAATTGAAACGTAGTTTTGGCATTATTATTTGATTTATTGTCTATGCTACATTTGTGCAGAGTAATTCAACAATCTTTAGCAAACATTTATTATTCTCGTTATGTTTCTTTCAGATAAAGTGATAAGGGTTGTGGATTTAGAAATGAAACACATAGCCTCTTCCCTCAAATAAATTAAAGTTTTATGGGCAGAGCAGTACACAAATAATCTCTATGTTAGAAGTGTTCCTTAACAATACCTGATGAATTCCTGTTTTACTTTCAAAACCCAAATTAGATGGCACTTCCTTTGGGAAGCCCTCCCTAAATCCTTAAGTGATAGAGCTAATTAGCAAATTAGCTCTGTGTACGTTGTACCATCTGTAACCTGGAGTATCTGTGGGCCTGGATGTCTGTGGGTAGACTCTGAACTCCTTGAAGACATGGATTATATTTCATTTTTGCATGCAGAGTGCCTGGCACATAGTCAACTCTCAACAAATGTTTGCTGCATTGGATCGAGGGTTTCATGCCATATGATCGGGACAGTTGTGTGAATGCATACTGTCAGGACACAGAGGAAGGACATGCATCATAGCCTGTGGGATAGGCATGGTTTCTGAGAGGACATAATGTGTGATTTGATTCTTGAAGGACAAGTAGGTGATAGGTAGCAAGAGCCCTTCCAGGCTGAGACAACTGTAAGTGCAAGGTCAGTGGAGATGGCAGAAAGCCTGGCCTTTTATTCATGTAAATGGTCCACTATGACTGTGGCATAGGAAGCTAGTAGAATGGCTGGAGATGATTCTGGGGAGGTGGTCAGGGGCTAGATCATTTGTACCCTTCAGTGCTTCCTTGGTACCCTGGGCTTACGTCTATCACAATAATTATGTTGTTGTATTGTAATGATCCATGTCTTCATAGTCTTTCTTATTAGATTGTAAAATGTGTGAAAAGACTGACAAATACCACTCTTATTCATATTTGTATCCCAACACCCAGAAGAATGTCTTACACAGAGAAGCTGCTATAGAAAGGTAGAATTTTAACCTTTTGATTCAATTCCCATGCTCTCAAAGCTTACGCCTCTAAATCACCAAGGAAAGCAAGATTTTGGCATTTTGGTCACTGATTACAGAAAAGAAATGGGAAGTCGAAGGACAGAAGGTCAATCTATCATCCCAGTGGTTGGCATTGTATGATTTTGGAGGATTCAGACAAACTGCTTGGTGCTTATTGGTGAGAGCCTGGAATTGGAATTCAGGTTCTATTTTCAATTTTGTGTCCTGCCAAGGTCAGAATCCATTTTGTGTGTTGCAAAACAAGGACCAAAGTGATCATTAGTCCTTCCCTGGACACACTGAGGACTTATGCCAAATTCATATTAGAATGTCAGTGTAGTGCTGGGCATTGGGGGCAACCTTTTGGATTCCACGTAGTGTTTCCCTTCTTCCCTCTTTTATTTTTGTGTGGCGGCTTTTCTTGTGGTTAGGTCAGTGCATCAGCAAATCTTTGGTTTGCAATGGAGATTCTGACTGTGAAGAAGATAGTGCCGATGAAGACAGATGTGAAGAATCAGAACGCAGACATTCCTGTGACCTTGATAAACCTCCTCCCAACATAGAACTTACTGGAAATGGGTAAGGTGCTTGGCAGCCTCTTGTGCACATTGGTGGGTTATAATTTTTCATTTTCTTTTGTTTTATTTATTTATTTTTTAATAAGTCTAATAACAAATCACCTAATAACCAAACCTTTTTCTCAGGCATCTTTGCCACATCGAAACATTTTTTAAAATTCATATCAGTATACCTCTAAATAGACGTGGTGAAACATAGAGTTGACCAAGTGTCCCTGAACTGTCCTGGTTTTAGCACTGAAACTCTTGCATCCAGGGAAACCCCTCAGACCTGGAAAAACATGCATATCAGTCATCCGGTAGGAGAGAAAAAAGGAGAAAGGGAGAGGGTGTGAGAGAGAGGGAGAGAAAGAGGAAGAGAGGGAGAGAGAGAGAACTGATTCAATGAGGTGGGGCTACTCAAGAGAATGAAGCCAATAGAATGAGAGCAGGGAATGAAGAGATAAAGCAGTGTGTTGGAATATTCAGGCTGAAAAGTAATTGCCCAAACTAGCTGGGAACGTTTATTTCCAAGTAAAGTTGGGACAATCCTGTGTTTGCCTTTTCAAAAAGAATTCTGAAGAATTTTTAAGGGTCAGACTCAAGTTAAAATTTGAAGGCCTTAAAGTAATCTAGTATAGAATGATAGGTGTTTTTTTTTCTATAATATTTTAAAATTCATTAACAAAGAAATGGTAAAATTACTTTAAAGAGGATGCCAGTCAGCATGCTAAGAGATAATTGGTTGAAATTCGTTGCAGAGAGCCCTCTCTCCTCAAGAGTAATCTTAATTATATTGGCTTTATCCATAGATTCAATCCAAAACCAGCTGTTGCCATAGATGCAAAAGAGCTCTTTCCCAAACATGTTCTTAGGCTGAAAAGATGTTGGGGTTTTCCAAATGTTAGTTTTAGATATTATACCAAGCAAGGGAGGTTGGAGAATGTATGGTGTGCACTAGGACACTGTTCTCTTTATTTGAACTGTCTCAAGAGATGGTTAACCATAATGTATTTCAAGAATTTTTAGAGTTCTTTAATGATGCCTTTTTCAGCAAGAGCTATTTCTGGTTTTTAATTGCCTTTTCCTCCTCCTCTTCCTCCTCCTCCGTCTCCTTTTCCTTCTTCAAACAGTTACAATGTACTCACTGGCCAGTTTAGGAACAGAGTCATCAACACGAAAAGTTTTGGTGGTCAATGCAGAAAAGTGTTTAGTGGGGATGGACAAGTTCCCTACAGACTGAGCGGAAATATACTCTCCTATACATTTCAGGTACTTCATTACATTGATTTCATTTATTTCTAATCTGTGAATTATTGCCAGAGATCCTTATTTATATGCCTTTTTTTTTGGTATTTGTTGGAAGTTTACTTGTGCCTAATATGTGGTCAGTTCTTATAAGTGTTTTATATGGGCTTAAAAAGAATACATATCATGTAACTCTGGAGTACAGGGAAATGGTAACTTGTGTCATTTAAGCTGAAATATACTTTTGCTTCATTTTCTTTCTTTCTTTCTTTCTTTCTTTCTTTCTTTCTTTCTTTCTTTCTTTCTTTCTTTCTTTCTTTCTTTCTTTCTTTNTATTATCACTCTCAAAAGAAACCCCATATCCATTAGTAGTCACCCTCCAATCTTTCTGTCATCATAGATTCACCTGTTCTGGACGTTTCATATCAATCTAATCAGACCATAGGTGTTTTCTTTCTTTCTTTCTTTCTTTCTTTCTTTCTTTCTTTCTTTCTTTCTTTCTTTCTTTCTTTCTTTCTTTCTTTCTTTCTTTCTTTCTTTCTTTGTTTCTAAAAAGATTTTATTTGGGAATTGGGGAAGGGGAACAGTGTTGGGGAATCGGGGAAGCTAACAGCCAACTTGTTGTCCTTCAATCTTAGTTATGGAGGGCGCAGCTAGCTCAGCTCCAAGTCCAGTTACCATCCAGCCGCTCACTGGCATCTCACAGCCGCTCAGCTCAAAGTGCCATGTTCAGTTTTAGTTGTGGGTGGGTGTAACCCGCCATCCCATGTGGGAGTCAAACTGGAAACCTTGTTGTTAGGAGCACCTGCTCTCACCAGCTGAGCCATCCTGCCACTTGTTGGCAGCTGAATGGCAGCTCAGCTCAGTCGCAACTCACTGGCCCACGTGGGAATTGAACTGGCGACTCTGATGCTCAGAGCTCACACTCTTAACCAACTAAGCCACTCGGCTGGCCCACTTCATTTTCATTTTGCCTATGTTTCATGTGGGCCCAAGACCTTTGGTCTGTCCCTGTATGGGTGTTTGAAATCAAGGCCCTGGCCATGACTGGTATGATAATTTCCTTTCCACTGCTACAGTGTCATCTCACTTAAAAATGCTTTTATTCCCTTTTTAAAATTTATTTTTTAAATTAAATTTATTGGGATAACAATAGTTAGTAAAATTACATAGGTTTCAAGTATACATTTCTATAATACATCATCTATATATCATATTCTGTGCTCACCACCCAGAGTTCTTCCATCACCATATTCTTTTTTTTTAAATTATTTTATTATTAGTTTCAGGTGTACAAAACAATGCAACAGTTATCCTTTACACCCCTCACAGAGTAACAACCCTCCTCCAATGCCCTCCCACCCTCAATATCATACTTATCTATTACAATTCCATTGACTCCATTCCCACACTCTACTCCACATACTATGACTATATGTACATATAATTATAGTTGACATACAATATTATTCAACATCAGCTTCAGAAATACAGTGCAGTGGTCAGGCCTCTACACTATCTATGAAGTGGTCTCCCTAACAAGACATGAGTCCATCTGGCCCCCTAAAAAATATTTACAACATTATTGATTATATTCCCCAGACTGTCTTGTCTATCCCTGAGGCCATATTGTAGTTACCAATTTGTATTGTCTCGTCCCTTCCCCTTCTCCTTCATCCCCACCTGCTCCCAACTAGTAACCCTCAGTTTTTCCTCTGCATCACCTTAAATTGTGAAATATTTCATATATACAAAACAGTGTGTGGGGAATATAATCAACAATGTTGTAAAGACTATGTAAGGTGGCAGATGGGCACTGGACTTATCAAGGGGATCACTTCATAGACTGTGTAGATGCATGACCAATGTGCTGTACAACTGAAGCTGAAGTAGAATAATATTGTATGTCAACTGTAAGTATATCTATATCTATATCTATATCATCTATCTGTATCTATCTAGATATAGATAGATATATGTCACGGGAGGTGGAGTATAGCATAAGGAAGATAGTCAATAGTATTGTAACAGTTATATAAGATGTCAGAGGGGTAGTAGCTGGGGGGAGGGGGCGTTATCTCTTTGTGAGGGATGTAAATGTCTAAGTATTATGTTGCTGTGTACACCTGAAACTAAAAAAAAAAGTGTGAATAACATATACATGCAGTTTGAAGAAAACAAATAAAACAAATACCCACATATGCCCATCACCCACCTTAAGAAATAGAATATTACCAGTGACTTAAAGATTCCCATTTACCCCTCTCCAATCACATCCTCCCCACCCCCACTCCCCAGGCAATACTATTTTATATTTTATGTTAATCATTTCCTTGTTTTTCTGTATATGTTTATCCCCTACATCTTTGTCCCTAAATAAAAATTTGTAATTTAGTTTTGACTGTTTTTGGCCATTTATATAAATAACTCATAGAGTATATATTCTTCTATGGATTATTTTTTTCACTCAAGATTATGATTTTGAAATTTATTCATGCTGGTGTAGATGGCGTTTTTATTGCTGTCCCAATTTATTCTTGTGAAAATGCCTTGAACATTTTTGTGTATGAGTTCTACGCAAAATGAGGTAGGATTTCTCTAGGGCATACACCTGGAACTCGAATTGCTGCCTTATCTGTGATACCCGTTGCTAGGTCAAGTTCCCAACATGGATGTATCAATTTCTACTCCCAGCAGCAGTGTGGAAGGATGGCCTGTGTTCCGTATCCTTGTCAGTACTGCCTGACATTTAAATTTCTGTTGCTTGTGGTCTCAGGATCGCCTCTGGCTCTAGGCTTCTGTTGCTTGCATTCCATCTCTGTCATACACACCTAAACTCACCCTGTTCCTTGACTGCAGCACAAAATCTACGCGCACCAAAACAGCTATGGCTTTGGAGGACAGTCCTGAAGATATAGAGGAGAGGTTTTTCTGTTGCAATAATGCAAACACATTCAACAAAAGCAGTTGACCTCCTCCATCTTAACACGTCTTTCCTTCCACAGTCTCAAACAATGAAGTTTCTGGTCTCACCTGTGTTAGCGTCTAACTTTTTCTTTTCTTTTCGTTTTTCCCTTTCCTTTCTTTCCCTTCCCTTTCTTTCCCTTCCCTTCCCTTCCCTTCCCTTCCCTCATTTTTTCTTTTTGACTGCTGAGATTGCTTTTATCTTGGCATAGGTAATGCTTGTCAGACTCATCATCTGAGAGCATCTATTGAGCAGGTTCACAACTGCTCCTCCTCAGCCTAGCCTCTTTCGTGTTGTCCTCTTCCAAGATCTTGTCTCTCACTGCTTTCCTCCCTTCTTCCCAGAATGCCCAACATTTTGAATTCAGTATTTCTTAATTATTACTCCCAAAGTTGTAAACCAAAACTATTAGGATGTTCACCCGGAAGGGCCCTTGTTTACCAAAATTATCCCTTTCCAGAAAGCAGTTCTCATTATAAATAGCAAACTCACCATCCTCCAACTTACAATAGAATCAATTACATTTAAGTGTTATAGAATCATCAAAATGGAAAGTGAAACTGATCTGAAAAATTATTGTAGCTACCTATTTTTGAATATTTAGTGGCATCTACACTATTTTAGGCAATTTGTATAGATTAAATCTTTGGAAGGTAAATAAATATTTTAGTATTTTATATATGTCAAAATTGAGGCTCAGAGGACATCAGATGATTTGCTCTAAGTCACCAAATTAATAAGTAGTAGAGGTTGGACCCAGTCAGTCAGGCTTCACAGCCCTTTATTTCTCTACTGTATTTTACTCTCCCAATGTATTGTATTTAGTTGCTTTTCAATTCTAAATTCCATGTGGTGAATAATATCTATTGTAATTTAACCTGTGGCCAGAAGTGAGAACGTGAGATAAGCAATTGTAGAGAATTTTTTCTCCTTTTATTCCTAGGAGGATGTGCTGGTATCCTTTCATAATTATAAGCAGAAGAATTACAAAATTTGGAACAAATTTAGAAAGTTACAGAGCAGAGAAAATAATAAGGAAGAGAATATCTGACATAGGTGGAAGGTAGACATGCTGGAAGTCTGCAGCTTCTGAAGAAGAGGAATACATTAAAAACAGCATAATCCTAACATTTGTTTTCCTTAGCATGGCTTGATTTGTGGATTGGCATCTGAAATGCCTTTCCAATCACCAACTGTGTAGGTGTTTGTCAGAGCACAGGGAAACAATAGTCTGCTATTCGGTGAAGACTATAGATGTTTTGAGGATCCAGCCTGAGGGAAGTGAGGTGGAAGGAATAGGCAGGAAGTCAATCATTAAAGTGCTAAACCCAGGTGCAGATATGGAGGCAATGAATGTCCCCCATAGTTCAAATATATGACTGCTGGAATGTATTGAGGGTTCCACTGAGGTTGGAAATCATGAATAGACTTATAGTGACACCAGTCTGTAGTTGTGTGATTTTCCTATAGTAGTGGTAGGCAGTTTGGCTGTAAGCATTGAACCAGGGTTGGGTTTTTGCCAGGCAAATATAGTGGCGGGACATATCTAGGCAAGGAAGTTAAGTTCACTGGCAAGAGAATGGTTGAAGTCATAAACCACGAAGCCTAACCGCAACAGGAAGGAAGTGAAAAAATGAAGGTGCTGATAGGGAAACAGAGGGAAAATAAATTGATGAACTTATCTCTATGAAGCTGAATAACAGATATGGCCACAATAGAATGAGAATCAAAAGAGTAAGAGATATCAGAATGTAGAATGTTTGAATTTATGGTTTCAGAGGAAGAATCAGTTTGGGGGAATCCAGGATCTAAGCTGGAAGGAAGGGAGTATTAATTAAGGAAAATTTAAGAAGTTCTCACTACCTTGAAAAAAGGTGACTCTTGTGTGCAGAGTAGATGGGAGGGAGGAAATGCTGAACTAAGCAGCTAAGAGGCTTATTTGCATAAATTATAACCGAATTGGAAAGTGAAATCTACTACTGGATCACATAGAACATTCCAAAACAAAGTCCAAATGATTTAATTACTTCATATAATCTGTTTGCATCTCTGTTCCTCTCTATTAGACCAAAAAAAAAAAAGTCAAGAGCCAAATGCTTTGTAGTTCTTTGCTAGTGTAGCCTTGTTAATTTGCTCACTTCTGGGCTAAATATTGACGTTAAAGGAAAATGAAAGATTTTTTTACACAGATGTATTTTGTGAATCACTTGGGATTGCCATTATTGATACCATGTTTCTTGCTTAACAAAGAGTAATTATAAAGTTATTATACTCATACAGGCCTCGTCTTAATGAGAGGCAAAGTTGTTTTGTGTTAATGAAGAGCTTTGTCTTTGAGAGAAGATTGTATGAAGAAAGTATCCACATTATAGGATCTATGACAAAAGATTCTTGATTATAACCAACACTTTAATTCAGTTATAGCAAAATTTTTCATTTTCTTTATAGGTGAAAATAAATAATGATTTTAATTATGAATTTTACAACAGTAGCTGGTCTTATGTAAAGAGTACATCATCAAAATATTCATCATCTACCAAGGGAAAGTTTTTGTTTATGTCTTCATCTTCATCTTCATCTGGATATAATTCAAATTACAATGCAAACCAGAAGGAAAAGGTTAGTATGAAATATTATTTAACTTTTTCATATTTTACTGGTTTAAGTATTTCTAACATTAACAGAAGTGTATTTACCAAGAAGATCAGTTTCATTTTTTAAATAGGTCAATAGTATTTTCTTCAGAGAGACAATACAATATATTTCTTTAAAAGGTACAACCTTGGCTTGTTAATTCTCTTTGATATATTTATACTTTTTTATTTTTTCATTAAAGTATTTGTACCTATTTGAAAATCTTAAAAAAAACCCATTACTTTGAAATCTTCTAGTTAAAACTGTCTTAAATTTCTCATCTATGATTATTGATGCTAACACTTATTTTTAAGTGTTATAATTATAATTTTAAAAATACAATTAATATGTGCTTCCTAAATGCTAACACTAAAATCTTTTTTAGAAGGTGTGTGAAACTAAAAAATTTTAAAACACTTTATTACTTTTGAGATACCTAAATTTTCATATGAGGAAGTTAAAAACCTTATTTTGAGATTATTTTTTTGTTTTGAAACTTCAAAACTTTCATTTTGGGCCACCTGAAAAGTTGACATGGATTGTACTAACTGATCACTTACTGCTGAGAAAATTTTCAGGCTGGTCATCATTCACAATATGCATATTTTATCTTAAAGCCAGTAACTTGATTCATAAACCACACAAGGGAGGTATAAAAGAATATTGATTTTGTTTGTTTTATAATTAAGAAGCTGACTGTGAAAATAGGAGCTGTAAAAACATTTATCATCTCCATGTTCTATTGTTCACATAAGTGAGGATTTGGCATAAGGTAGATCTGTCTTGGACATCATTAAAAGATGCTTAATCAGAAGTATTTAAAATACCTCATTATAAAGTGGCTTAACTTGTAAATACACCAGTATTAGAGATAATTATACAGCCACCCTACCTCTAAGTCATTGTCAAGATATGGACCCTAGGGACACATTATTTTAACTACTTAATTGTGAGATTATTTAGCAATTAATGAAGTTGATTCTCTTTTTGTAGTTGAGGAGGGCATAACAACTGGTCTTGGGGTTTTAAAGCTCACGTATAGAAGAAATGACCATGATATCCCTCAGAGATTATTCCTACTTGGGATTTAAAAAATTCTTTTGATTGCCTTAAGTGAGTGGGTCCAAAATAGACCTAATCATGCATCTAAAATAAAAATTCTTATGGTCTGGGTTGGAGGTGGCAGTTGATGAGGATGGCATTGATGGAAACAAGGGACAGGGAAACTAAAACTCCTTTTATTCTTTCTTTTTCCCACAGAGCTATCAATTGTTGGTTGTTGAGAACACAGTGGAAGTGGCTCAGTTTATCAATAACAATCCAGAATTTTTACAACTTGCTGAGACCTTCTGGAAGGAACTCTTCTACCTTCCCTCTCTGTATGACTACAGTGCCTACCGAAAATTAATCGACACGTATGGGACACATTATCTGCAGTCTGGATCCTTAGGAGGAGAATACAAAGTTCTATTTTATGTGGACACAGACAAAATGAAACAAAATGGTAGAGTATTTAAAAAAATTGTTATAGAAAAACATTTCAAGGATTGTAATGGGGAAATAACATGTAGCTAACTTAAACTTTAGAGCTTTAAAGTAGGAGAAATAGAAATAAAATTGCAAAAGAATCCAAAGCTGCTAGAATCCACTATACTTTACTCAAAATCTTACAGGCTTTAAGAAAAGCCTGCCTACTCTTTTAGACAGTACCATGAAATGTGAATTAAACCATTATCATTATTGGCTATCTCCAGAGGGTATTGATTGGTATTTAGAATACTTTTTAACCTTTCCCATTTCTCAGATTGAATAATATTACTCAAGGAAAACTAATGAGGAATTTACTGTTATTGCAGAAATCAAGATGTTTTAAAGCAGCATTTTACTTATCTCTGTTCTTTAACACTCACATTCCTTTAAAAAATATGCTTGGGATAGCACAAGTTTGCTTGCTACCTAATTATACTTGTAACAATAGCTTAAATTTATTGGCTGCCTTCCTCACAACAGGTGAGTTATGTATGTTAGCAATGATCCCTACTATTACCCAGTGAGATAGCCATTATAATTCTTGTCCCACAGACTGAGAAACGGAGACTCAGTGCTATGAGAAGACTCATCAAAGGGCATATAGATCGTAAGGAGGTCTAACGGGCTCCAAAATCAGCTTAGTTTTTCCCTTATGCTATGTTGCTGCTAGAAATGCCTGATATTTGTTAGAATTGGGCATGCCACTGAGTTCATGCTTTGTTGATTTCACAATGAGAGTACAAACCTCATCAGCTGCCCCAATGTGGAAAGGGAGAGAGTGGTGTCTTAGTATCCTTTCCTCTTCTCCAGAGAACTTTGGGCCCTGGTTTACTTACGTTCCAAGTCAAATCTGCTCTGTCCCAACTTCGTCCTTAAGATGATGCCCACAATTTCTTCTTCATTCCTAATAATCTCTTCAGGATCTTTCTCATCAGCCACAATGCCCTAACAACCTCGCAGGAGAGTAAGACTTCTTACATGAGATTCAGAGACCTTGTAGCCTTCTCTTATGGGTGAATTACAACATTTTTCTGTGTTTCTGTTGGCTATTTTTCCATTGGGCTTAATTTTTACCAATTAACATTTAAGTGAATTTGAATTTTTCTAACCTCACAGGTTGGGAATAAATTGCACAAGCACAGGATTTTCTTTTCTTATTTTTTTTTCTTTTAGCAATGGCAGAGGCAATATTTTTTTGGAAAACTAATCCAGCAGGTGGCTTGATCTGAACTCAGTTTCACTGCCCTTTTTTTTTGCCCTTAGCATTTAAAAGAAATGGGGAGAATCTTTTCTAAGCTTCCCAAATTGGCAAAAGTTTCTTTTTTGAGTGAAAATTTTACTCTTGAGCAGTTTCTGTTCTTCTTAAAAGTTTTAGTTTAAATATAATCAAATCTTTTGGGATACAATATATGCCCCCATTTGTTCTTTCAGAAATATTGAGGTTATTATAATATGATTAGTAAAATTATATAAGAAAAATACATTTTCTCACTTTATTGTTTTCTATCCTTTAAAAAATGCATTTGATAATGAGAGAAATTGTCACATACTAAGGTTATGAGTCAGGGAAAGAAGATGTTAGACACCAGAGATATTGAAGATGTTAGAGATGGAGGCAGTAGAGCTAGGTAGGGTTTTATGAATTAATTACTGTAGAACCAGAACCCAACTTTTGGATTCTCCAATAGACGGGCTGGAGACCATCACATGCCTACTTTTATCTATTTGCTTGAGATGCTGACTATGGATGGGTGAAAGATGTCACTCTTTGGGGTGTTTAATTTCTGCTCCCTCTACAGTTTCATGTAGAAATCACCTCATATCCTTCCCTCTCTGGTCAAAGCTAATGGAAGCCAATATTTGCAGATCTATTTGAAAGTAACTTTCAGACCCACGATGCTTCATTCCTAAGTAGATGAATGCATCTGTTATTTTGTTTAATAACAAAAATCAAATGCCCCGTTTTCTGACGCTTGTCTCTTCTAGAGCACTTGACAGTGTACATATCATATCCCTCTTGATTAGATGGGCATAGTACTAGGAAACAACCTCTTAACAGCGCTCTTGGCTGCATTTCGAAGGTCTTCAACAAATGCAGAAATTAAGCACCTTTTAATTCTTTCCCCCCAGGTCTCAGTTCATTAAACATGAAGGGATGTTCTTCTTCAGATATCAAGTTTCTGTTTACATACTCAAACAAAAAATGCAAGAAGCTAGAAGATGCCCTAAAGTGGGCTTCAGGTAAATGGGAAGGGGCAATATATATTATAGCCTTTACCTCCCTCCCTCTCTCTTGTGGTTAATACCTGGTCTCCAAGGGCCTTGGACATGCTAGCAGGTGTCCTATTTTGTGTTTTTCATATATTTGGTTATTTTTGCCTCTGATCTCTATTTTATATGTTGTGGCAATGAGACTCACGAAGAGTGGACAGTTCACTGGTTATCTCCTGTGTACTGTAAATATGTCCTCAGTGTACACCACTTTTCTCCCCATCGTGACAGTTGGCAGACAAGCCTACTTGTCTGGAGAAGGTGCAGGTCCAGTCTGTGACATGGCTGCTCAGTGAAGTTCTTGGTGCGTGCTGCTGCTGCTGGTGGCAGAGCGGTAGGGAACAGGGTGTGCTAGTACTTGAGTGACTCAAGAAGGAAGTGGAAGGGTGAGCTGCTTTAGACTGTGTCTAGGTGCCATGGTAAAGAGTTGGAATTTCATTCTGATGAAAAGGGGTGCCGTTAAATGAATTAATACAGAGAGTGATTAAATGAAAGGATACAAGGATAAAGTTGTAGAGAAAGAAGTGGGACTGAGAAGGAAGAGTCTGATAGGATAAGAACCAGAAAAGATGAGTAACATGGAAAGGAAAGGAGAAAAAGAGGTCAACAGAGAGAAATGCTAGAGAGCAGTCAATAAGAAAAGGACTGAGGGCTCTTCATTGGATTTGGCAAATACCACCAAATTGCCTTAAAATGAAGAGATTCTTAGTGTGGTAGGGAGGGAAGCGAGACTGCAGTGCATTGAGTGAGGCCGTGGACTAAGCAGTATTTGAGCTTAGGTTCTCCTGGGGTGATGACAGATGCTGGGAAGAAGGTGAAGACTGACCTAGGTGCCAAAGTTCTCATCGAAGAAGTGGAGGTCCTTGGAATACTGGTAGATGACTCAAGGGAGACAGAGTAGTAAAACCAAGTTTTTTTACTCCATTGCTTCTTTCCTCAACTATATATGGAGCCCATAGGATGTGCCAGGAATTGTCCTAGGCACTGGGGATATAGCAGTGAATATGCCGGGGAACCTGCCTGCCTTCAAAGGGCTGACATGACAAAGGAGGAGGACAAGTTTTTGAACAAGATGGAAATATAATGATCTGGAAATAGAAGTGGAGATGGGAGCTTTGGAAAGATGTTGACATCAGTCACTAGGTGGACTGGTGATTGGAAGCTGCTCATCAATTTCATTTTATTTTGTATTTAAAGACACATAACATTAAGTGCCCAGCACAGTTTTAAGTGATTTACAAAAATGAACCAATATAGTCCTCCTACCTAAGACTTAGGGATTATTCATAGTCCCATTGTACAGACATGGACACTGAGGCACAGAAAGGTTATCCAAGGTCATGGTTGGTAAGCATCAGACACGAGACAGAGATGCATAAATTTGGCTCACAATTTTGGTTCTTTGCTGTTGCACCAGGCTGATTGTTTAAAGGAAGAGGACCAGCTGGAGCAGAGCACTCACTGGGGTGTGGACAAGGAGGTGACAGGCTTAAAAATAAATACAAAAACGGAGTTTTTAGAGTCTGTAGTTTGTCAACAGGGGTTCCAGTTAAGGCAGTGACTCCCAAACATAAGTATGCACGAGGATGACCTGGGGTAGCCTGTTAAAATGCTGATTTCAAGGCTTTCCTCTCAGTTATCCTGTCACAGGTCTTGGGTGGAGCTCAGAAATCTGCAGTCGCTCCAGAGGATTCTGATTTAGGTAGTTCAGGGACTGAACTTCATGATATACTTCATGAAAAGGGTGACTACTTGCATATTAAAAAATAGCTAACAATGAGAATGAGGAAGGACTTCAGGCAATTTATTAAAAATATCAGGCTTTCATAATTTCTGATGCTAACAGTACCGTTTTTGAATTTGCAAACTTTTCTGATACTTTTATGAAATTATAAAATTTAGTTAAAAGAAAGGACATACAAATCATCCCAAATCTGATCTGTAAGTTAGGAATTTCTGGTCATGACCAGTGTAAAAATCAATTAAAAATCGAGATTAAAATATTTCTGAAATTATAAGGCACATGAAAAAAATATTCATTAGTATTCATACTTTTTAGAACACTTTCTGTGTGTTACTGTATGCCTGTTACTTAATAGCTTTTTTGCTTAGTTAGTGTTTCAGATACAATGAACTTTCCCCCACAGCATTTTATTATGAAAATTTTTAAACATACAGGAAAGTGGAAGGAACAGAATAATAAACACCGATATACCTACCTCCACTATGTGACATTTATTATTTTGACATTTTGCTTTATATATCTATATGTAATGTTGACTATTTAATATTATGTATTTAAAATATTTGTAATATTTTTTGAATCATTTGGAAGTAATATCTTGATGCTTCATCCCTAAATACATAGATGTATCTTCCAAAAAGCATACATAACATTCTTTTTACACTAAGCACATTAATAATATAAACAATAAACCCCTAATGTCATCTATTGTCAGGTAATGGCTACTTTTCTTTTCTCTTTATATTTTAATAGACTTTTTTTTTTAGGGTAGTTTAGGTTCACAGCATAATTAACCAGAAAGTACAGAGCCTTCCTGTATCTCCTTCCCCACACAGGCACGGCCTCCCCGCTCTCAGCATCCAGGGCCACAGTGGTACATTTGTTACAATTGATGAACCTACATTGACACATTATCATCACTCAAAGTTCACATGAGGGTTCACTCTCGGTGTTGTACTTCCTATGGGTTTAGGCAAATGTACAATGACATGTGTCCACCATTATAGTATCGTAGAGAACAATTTCACCGCCCTAAAAATCCTCTGTAGTCCACCTAATTCATTTCTCCTACCACCCACCTATGGCCACCACTGAGCTTTTTTACTGTCTCCATGGTTTTGCCTTTCTCAGAATGTCATTCAGTTGGATGGGATGTGTTTTAATACTTGATAAACTTTTCACTTTTATGTTCTCATTTTCATTTTCATTTGTGCACCCTGACTTTATGTGATATCTCCTTGTGTAGGAACTCAGGGCAGTACGTTGCGAGGGGACCCATTTGTCAGAGGGGGACGCTTAAACTTGGTGTCTGGCCTGAGTTTCCTGGAGCTGGACAACCCTGCCGGAAACAAACAACGATATAGTTCCTGGGCAGGATCTGTGACTGATCTTCCCCAAGTCATAAAACAAAAGGTATGTGATGGTCTGTTTAAAGCAGCAGAAAATAGTCATGTTGATTTGCTCTGGGAAAAGGAGATGAAATCAAGATGGTGAAACAGAGAAGGCTGTAATTAGCATTTTCTGTATCCCAAATATGTTTTATATGGTAAAATGAATGCGTATATGGTAATAAGAAACAGGTTTCTTATCTTGTATGTCCATATTTCTGTTGTAAAGGTTAAATGTCCTGAAACTCCCAAGAGAAACTGGTGACAAAATTTGCATTTTAAGCTTTTGATCTAAATTTGATTATTTTTCTTGTTCTCTTAAGTCAGAGGAATTATAGGTTCTTGCAGGAGGAGGTAAGTAGGCTTGTTACATTTGTCAGATCACCTTTCTTCCTGTGGTCATGGCCTGTAGGCTCCTGGAGTCATGTAAATTAAGATAGAGACAATTTGGTTAGCAGGATTTTAGGATGTTTTGAACGCAGTCAGTTCTTTTGTAAGACAACAAATGTGCTCCTAAAAATCAGAGAGCTAGGCAAAATTGCACAATAGAAAGACCATAAGATTTATGGGAAAAATGGGGTTAGAGACACAACCCTCAGAAACTTAATCTGTGACACTCATTAAAAAAAAGAAGATAGGGACCAAAAACACCATAAAAAAACACAAAACAGTAGCACAGTTTCATACAAGTTAAATTGTTAAGAAATGCATATACTACAAAAAAAAGTGGCACATTACCTAGAAAAAGATCTGAAGCTTGTTGGATGATGGAACAGTTACAGCTTGTGAGTTATTGTGAAGTGGTAGAAGAACAATCAGAAATGACAGATGGTTGTAACACCAGATGTGGATGGGTGTAGTTTATTACACAGGTTGTGAGCTAGAGGATGTTTGAGGTGTTTGTGTGTGTGCATTTTGTGTATTCTTATGTGGTTTGGTTCAGTTGTATCCATTTGTTTGTGTTTACCTGGTGTTTCTTGTGGACAAAATTGTACATAAGAAAACACAAAATTTGTGGTACGCTCATGTTGTCCACTAATGTAACAATCTTAGTAGAACAAATTCACATTTTCAAAACAAAGGCTATAGCAGAATTGAGTCTATGATCGAGTCCCTGCCATGGAAGTCGAGTAATGTCCCAGGTGAACCTTGACTTTCAGAGATTAAGAAACTTGGATGCATTTTATAAATTCAAAAGTTGCAGTATTTCTATCTGAAACTCATATAAAAATTATGAAAAAAATAAACTTCTGATTCGATAAAAAAATAATTGCAATGTTTCTCAAGTTACCCTCCTACACCATAGTGCATTCACTTGTTTCCTAATAAGGATATAAGGGGGAGGGGAGTTTTCCCCAGGAAGTCTTATATTAAAATGCCATTCATTAATATTCAGAATGGCCTATTTTCATTGTCAATATCCCATACAAATTTTTAAAAATCCTAAATTGTTAATTAGGGAAAAATAGACATTCTTTTCTATTCTCAACTGCACTTTTTCGCATAGGACTGTAACTGTCATAGCTGGCTATGCTAACTTATTAGCTGGACAGGAAAAGAATAGAGAAAGTAGAGACACAGATACATGACCACGCAATGCCATCCAGTTCAGAAGAGCATGGGCAGAGATGGAGGGAATGTGACTGACTCTCTGAGTTAATCTCCACACTTGCAGTGATGTGCTGCAGCCAGCTTCTATTGACTCTCAGAAGCCAGTGGTGCTGATCTCTTCCCAGCTCCGTGCTCAGTGATGTCATGGAGGTAGCCTGAAATCAGCCATGGTGACAGTACTTACACTGCAGAAACTGGCAAATGGTACAAAACAGGTTTTTTGTTCCTGGGAGAGTAGATTGTTAAAGCTTAGTCACACATCTATGGTCTCGAAGCTGCTTCTCATCAGACATAGCCAACACAGAGGAATAATGCCCACCTGTTTTAAACTTCTTCAGGGAGAAAGAGTCATAGTCTCCACTAGAGACACATGTTAAGTTTCCCAGAGTCAGGAGATTTAATCTTACATTTAACTGCACTTGCTTCTTTAGTGTAATTTAAGTGTATTCTTTTGTCCTCTGAAAGGGTGGAAATGTATTGCCTTTGAAATCATCTTTCAATAACTACTAGAAAATGAATGTCCTTTTTTTTTTTTTCAAACTTTGTTGGGTAACAAGTGTGTTTTTCCAGGACCCATCAGCTCCAAGTCAAGTCGTTTTTTTTCAATCTAGCTGTGGAGGGCGCAGCTCAGTGGCTCATGTGGGAATCGCACCGGCAACCTTGGTGTTAAGAGCCTGCACTCTAACCACCTGAGCTAACTGATTGTCCCCGTTGGTTTTTAAAAATTTTATGCATGCATACAAAATACAAACAATATTTCTCCCCTATCTGGTCAGAGTTTTCCTTAAGTTTGTCTTGCGAAGAAAGTGAATTACTTTCTCTTTTTATTTGAACAAGAAATAATTGGAATTAACGTGAGTGGCTTTTGATTTTGTTTTAATGGGGAATGAGGCTAAATGCCAAAAGGAAAATATTCTTGCCTAAAATCCTGATTTCTGACTGTGATGTCCTTATCTTTATAGCTGACACCTTTGTATGAGCTGGTAAAGGAAGTACCTTGTGCCGCTGTGAAAAGGCTATACCTGAAACGGGCTCTTGAGGAATACCTGGATGAATTTGACTCCTGCCACTGCCGGCCTTGTCAAAATGGTGGCATTGCCACTGTTCAGGGGACCCAGTGTCAGTGCCACTGCAAACCATACACATTTGGTGTGGCATGTGAACGCGGAGAACTCGTAGAGGGTGAAGCCGGTCAGTGCACTGAATTTTCTCTAGTTATGCTGGACCCATTGGAAAGGGTCCCCTCTGGTCCCTGAGACTGCACTTCTTTGTTTATGGAGAGGTGGAAGCCTAACTGGGCATTTTAATTTAGTAACTCCCTCCCTTTTCCACTTCTGGATTATAGCTACTGGGGTCAAGACCCTTTGCTGTCTCTGTTTTTCTGTCTGAATTAATAGGCTCACCCTGCCCACCATTCCCCATTCTTCATTAGAGTAGATTCATGCCTAAAACACCTCTGTCCTTCCATAGTCATCTCATTAAGGTTGGCTTTGCATTGCCTAACTTTCCAATGGCAAGTGCTTTGAAACATCTCTATTTCTATTTTGTATTATGTCCCGTCAATCAATTGTTTTTATATTTATTTACGTATCCCTCTCCTCTAGAAAGCTCATTTCTTAAGAGCAGGACTGTTTGATTCTTTTCTTTATTCCCAGAGCCTGACATAGGGCTTGGCTCATAGAAGTCATTTAATAAATGTTCGATAAATGAATAAATACGTGAATAAACTATGGTTGCTTATAGACAAGCATCAGGAAGGTGTCCTTGCCTCCACATGTCTTCCCAAGTGGACTGTTCTGGCAAATTGAAATCCCACCACTGATTCATTCCTCTGTGGCTTGGATTTCTAGTTATTTAATAAAATGGAAACTTCCCCTTCTTTTAAGGAATAGGACAGCAGTTATAATATGTCAAGCTATTATTACCTGTTATTAATATATTCAGGGGACTACTTTATTAACTCAGTAATTATGGAAGAAAGCAGAAGGGAGATTATGGGAAAATATTATACAAATTAGTTTGGGTGTTTGTGACACTGGGGAGTTGGGAGCAAAGAGAGATGTAGGTCACATAGTAGAAATAGCTGAGGAGCAGTACACACACCCATGTATTATTAGAAAATAATGCTTTGGGGAATGGTTTCTGAGATCAGTTCCTAAGTAGGAAAACAAAACTCTTAGAATATTGTACAAGTTCTCTCTTGCCTTGGAATTTCAATTTGCCAAGGACTATGATGGGGGAAAATACTAAAAATGCTGTGAGTCATGAATTGGCACCGAGGTAGAAGGTGGCCAGGGTGGGCTGAGGAAGTGTCTTGTATACTATGGAGAAGGATGCTGACAAGAGGCAAAGGCATTTCTCCTACTTACACATTTCCTTGTTTTGTACAGTGCTAGGCCCGCCCTGGGGTTGGCAGCCTGAAGTACCCAGGACATCATGTCCTTCTCATGCCCTGTCACTTCTTCAACAATAGGAAGTTATTTGCCTTATTGAGAGACTGTGGGGTGATGAAAAGGGCCTGAGCTCAGCCATAAGACCAGGTTCCAGTCTGGATGTGGCTCTTGGCAGCCATTACCGCACTGGGCATGACATTTAACCAATTTGTGTTAGCTTCCACGCCTATCAAATGAGAATGGTAGCAGACCTCCTGCCCACCTGAATTCATTTTTGTGAGAAGCAAATAGATGATATCATGCATGTGAAGGTGCTTTGAAACAGTTGTAAAATAATAAACACATTTAAGATATTATTGCAAGAAATTCGTTAATGCAGCCTTAACATGGACAAGCCTAGTCAGTGTGCAGGGACACTTTGGCCATTGTCGACGACCTCAGTAAATAGTGAAGGTAATAAGGACCGTCCTCTCCCCCAATGACCACATGACCAGGAAGCTTAGCACGAAATGCTGACCTCTTCCTCTCCATGTACTTTCTAAACAACCTCTCTGTTATCATACAGGAGGGGTTGATGGACAGTGGAGTTGCTGGTCCTCTTGGGGCCCCTGTGTTCAAGGAAAGAAAACAAGGAGCCGAGAATGCAATAACCCACCTCCCAGTGGCGGTGGGAAATCCTGTATTGGAGAAACGTCAGAAAGTAGACAGTGTGGAGACGAGGAAGAGGAGCTGAAACACCTTCGGTAATGGAGACCGGACCTCCTGCGATTGCACAGAACACGGTGGTCTCTGCAGTACATGTGGGATATGGGATGGCTGCTACTAAAAGATTTAAAAGTTACATGGCGATGTTAATCAGGGACTGCTTAGTCTCTAGCACTGGGGTCAGCTGAAGGAGGGAGGCATGTTTGTAGCCACCTTGCACTTGTGTTTCAAGTTTTCCTGATACATCGTTCCAGAAGGCTGGGTATCGGGAGGCAGTGTGGCCTGGTAGACATGAGCAACAGCATCAAGCACATCTGCCAACCTACTTGCTGTGTGACCTTGGGCAAGTTACTTGCCACACCTCTAAAATTAGGACAATAATAGTGGATAAAATGATAATTGTCAGACTTAAATGAGATTAAGCGTGTAAAGTGATTAGCACAGTGCCTGGCACATAGTAAGCATTCAATAATAATTGTATAACTTTTCAGACATACTATTTATTTATTTATTTATTTTGGATTAAGCATAAGGCAAGAGTCTTGAGATGGCTAATATCCATTTTTTTTAAATAAAAAGATTTTTATTTAAGGAATTTCACATATTGTGATACCTTCCACTGCTTTAGTTCCTCCTGGGTTTGAATTATAATCTTCAGGATAGCTCTTTATGCTCAGTCCGCAGTTGTCATGTCAGTTAGTCCACAATTCTCTTAGTTGAGCTTTTTTGATCTCCACTTGAGTATGGACGTACTTCAAAAGTTCCCACCTGTAATCTTTAGGACCCAGTTTCTTTTTTTAAAAATTTTTATTGGGGAACAGCCATGGTCATTGGTTACATGTTGCTTTCATGCTACAATGGCATAGTTGACTCATTTAAGGAGGGCACAGCTCACAGTGGCCCATGCAGGGATCGAACCAGCAACCTTGGTGTTATCAGCACCACGCTCTAACCAACTGAGCTGACTGGTCACCCCTGGGGTCCAGTTTCTTTAAGCAATCTACTTTAGGGCCCTAGAAGTTAAATTGTAGGAAGCATGTTGCTATTTTGGCACCTGATCTAAAATATATTATTCCTTAATTGTTTCTAATACTGAAAAGTCTTGTTACATTCAGTTTTTATTCATGATCTTGGCTAGAAATGTTACAGGTGTCATTGTCCCCACTGCAATATACTTATAGCAATGGAAGTATGACCTGTGTCTCAGTGTAGCCACTTGTGATGGCTAATATCGTGACTGATTAGCCCAGTTGTCTGACACTAGTTTGCCAGGACCTTGGAAAAACTATCTCAAAAATGCTTAGTTGTTGACTCATACCCCAGGGTCAGAATTCTTTATGACACACCCCACTGTTGTACACTGTCCTTACTAACCTCTTCTGATCAGGGACTGACAAAAGTTCTAGTCAGATAATTTGAAGGTCATGTGAGTTGAAGAAAGATGTGATACTTGGGTTTCTGGGAGAAGCACAGGGAGATGCAATGCCTCATTCCTAAATCTTTGGTGCCTCATAATCTGCCAGTGAGCAGTATCGCTTGTCTGAGGAAGGTGGCAACCATATGGAATTATGGTAGGAGGAGAATGCTGGCTGCAGGGTACACATCTCTGGGAAGGTGAGGTCTCGGAGGAGGCCTCTGCCTGTGTGGGTATATTTCCAGGCCTTTAGACATAAAGCTGGAGGAAAGGGGAATCCTAAGGAATGCAGAGAAGGAATTTTCACTCCTCTTGGTGCGCAAGGAGGGGAAATCCCTTCCTCAGCCCAAAGAAGAAAACGATGATCAATACTTCACATTTCTGAGTTTCCTTGGAGTGTGGCAAGAGCATAAGGAACTCAGCTCAGAAGAAGGCAACACTCACAGGCTCTTTCTAATACTTTCCATCAGATTTCATATCTCTGGAGTAGAGATAATGTTGGTGGTATATTGACCTCAGAGGCATTATTGAAAACCATTTTTTAATGATGAATGTCATTGTTATCACTATTATTATTATTATTATTGTTATTATTATTATTATTTAGCTCCCCTTAGAAATTGCCTTGTGAGCAGTAGAAAAAGCATGGTTTTAGGAGCCTAAGTGATTAGACATGAATCCAGCCTTGGTATTTTTTACTTTATAACCTTGGATAAGTTATTCAAACTTTCCAGCCTTTGTTTTCTCCACATTATTTTGCAGGATTACTGTGAATGTGAAGTGAGGCAACACACATTTGTAGAGCAACTGCCAAAATGCCAAACACACAGTAAATGCATAATCAAAAGTAGTTATTTTTTTGTGTTACCTCTTTTGCAGGATCACTAACTCCGATTACCTATTTTTAACACAGAATTAATTCTGTGTCAAAGGCATTTCAGAAGTAAACAGTAGGACAAAAAGTAGGTCTGAGACAGGTGACCTCTAGAAATCACATAAAGGAGGTGTGTTGTCCAATGACTTTTGTTTACTTTTCTCTTCTTTCTGCTGGTTTTTCCTACTGCTAACCTAGTAGTTATCTTCTGAAAACTTGAGTTTACTATCACAGGATGTGATCAGATCTTAGGTCCTGACAATGACAAAAATATCACAACATTTACATGAATGGAGTCCCTTCAGATGCAAATGAAAAATTCACTGTGGTGCAAAACATTTACTGTACTGTGGAATCCCATCACATTAATTATGTTTTGTTTCCTTTTCCTTCCAGATTGCTTGAACCACATTGTTTTTCTTTATCTTTGGTTCCAAAGGATTTCTGTCCATCACCTCCTGCCTTGGAACATGGATTTGTTCAAGTTAGTTATGAAAGATATATATTTTTCCTTTAGATATATATATTCTTTCCTCCAAGTTCTACCTCTTTACTGTTGTCATAATCCATGTCCTTCTTCCGTGATGGAATAGTGCTAAAAATATTTTATGTGTGCATTTTAGTTTCAGCGGTGAGGGTTTTCGATTGTGACTTTTGATTTTTGGCCCACGGTGATTAGGAATCTGTATGTCTCCTGTGGTTTGTTAAATCAATACTGCTGCCCACTGCATTAGAAATGTCATCATGCCAGAGGACTGCTAACCATTTCCATTTCCACTAAAATAGAAATCTATAAGCAAGTTCTTCAACGTGAGAACTTTCCCTTTTCTTGCCCCGAAAGAAGTCTTTTTTTTTTAATCTTTCATAAATATGAGGTTTGGGATGAAGTATTAGGTTTACTCCAGGAGCCAGTAAGACAGTTAGCTAGTTTTAGTGAGATATGGGTCGCTGCACTTTGGGCAATTTTCTTGTTTAGGAAGGAACACGGGGCATCTGCCACTTGTCATTCCAGGGAATTTTCTTGGCTTCGGGGCCATGTTAATTCATGCTCTTTTCACTCCTTGTTATGATGAGGCTTGGACCCCAGCCCCAGTGAAGTCTCTTCCTGGCTCACACAGGAGATTTTGTTCATCAGGACTGGTTTAGTGTTGCCAGCCTTGCCGTCTCTATGAATGAATTTGCCTCTCAAGTTCTAGGTCCTAGAACATAGACTCACTGAAATTTTGCTGAAGTTTTCCCTAATGTAGGTACTGTTGGGAGTGTGTGTGTGTGTGTGTGTGTGTGTGTGTGTGTGTGTGT